GCTTGTTGGGAAGAGCTTCGTGTAGAGCTACCAACAGTGGGAACATTACTGTTCGCATGGTTTTCTTGTTGAGTGTAGCGAGGATGGCACAGCGAGAAGCTTGAGAAGGAGCTCGTGGAGATGATGAGCCACGTTCACACGTCGAGTAGAGCTCCATAGACCTCTGCTGTGCACTTGCCGAGATGTTGAAAATGGAAGCAATTCTTGCTGGGCTGATGGTGATCTCGTTGGTGCCATCGGTCTTGGGGTTGAAGGAGGCAGCCACCTTCCTCGCCAGCTTTTGGTCAGGGTGCCTTGTGGATGGTCCTTGAGCCAGGCAGTTGTGTCGTTGCCGGGAAGCCTTGCATGATGTACCTGGATGAGCTTGCATCTTTCTCTTCATTTTCTGTGATCGTGCCCCATTAGGGTTCCTGAGACCCGTAACTTTTGGTTGGCTGATCGTGTGGCACTTGATTGCTGGTGATGAATGGTAGAGATTTATTGACCGAATTGACTTGAAGTTACAGGTCTCAGGAACCCTAACGGGGCAAGCACTTCAATCACAGAAAATGAAGAGAAAGATGCAAGCTCATCCACCCCAGTGCCTCAGGTACGTCATGCACCATATTCCTAGGCTTCCCAGCCATGTAAGTAAGAGACGAATGTCTGATTTCCAGTGGAAGTAAGGACTAGCACTTGTCCTGCGGCTGAGACTACAGTATTTGTGCTCAAGCAGCGTAGCAGGCTTGATCACTCATCATCATCACATCATCATCATCAACACACCTTATATCTCTGCTGGCGACCACGTACCACTTACCATCATCTTTCACCACGATCAGTCCATCACGACCACCGACTTGCAGCCAGCTATAGAGCTCGCGGGAGTAGTTCGCTCCGGTTGGTGCGCTCACCCTGTTAACTAGCTTGCAGCCGGTGCCCGTGGGAGTGGTTCTGCAGTCCCCACGCTGCTGGTTGGTGTAACAGAGGGAAGTGTTTCTATTCTCGGGTTGAAAGATGCTGCGGGTCGACTTGTCACTGATCTGGCTGAGATGCATCAAATGGCGTGCGATTATTTTCAACATCTCTTTTAAGCGCAGATGCGGGCTTTGCATTCGATTATAGCGGCTCTCCCACAGTCAGCATCGCTATAGCTTTTTATGCAGTGCACTGAGATCGCTGGGCGGGCCGGGCACTTTTGGATGAGTGGCAGCGTGTTCAAAACTCAGAAGACTCGGATAGATTAATATGATTGAAGATGCATTACCTACTTGTGTTATAATTTGTTACCACCTATACTATAAATATGATGAGGGCGCGATCTTAGATCTAAGTTGACTTTTGGTGGTATATTTTCATGCGTGTAGTAAAAGTTAGGGCCAAACGCTTGTCTTCAGACTTTAGAGCGATTCACCTTGGCTGGTGCCGGTGATTCGAAGAAATGGGAGAGGTAAAGCGAGATCGATGGTAGTCATCTGAGAAAGTGTTCCATTCTATAGCTTTCTAAGCGCAGGAGTATGCAGTCGGGATTTGGGAAGAATCAATACCAAAAATGCTTTTGCAGTTCATTACTCTTCGTTTGTCCAAGTCTACATTGCAACCATCGTCAGAGAACTAGCGATTCAGCATCAATTTTGACCTTGGGGTGTCTCATCTGAAGCTTGGAACATAATGTCATCTTGCCCGTTTGTACCAACCTGAATGGGAATGAGGTAAAGGTTACTCATGACCGAGCCAGGAAGGAGGAGCTTCCTCAGATGCCGATGTTCCAGGGACGTTTGCACCCGCCCAACCACTTGGATCTTTCCATCTCGGACAGACATCCCTTGTATTCCATGACGAGCTCCACGATGCCTGAGGCAGCTCGAGCATCGAAGCTTGAACGTCAATCTTCTCGTCGTGAAGAAACGTCTTGTTAATCTCGACCTGCACCCTCGTTGCGTCGCATCCTGGGACTAGAATTGTGTCCAGAAGCTTCTTCCCATGGAGCTACTTGCTTCACGCAAATCTCTGCTGGCTCGCTGTCACCTTTTGCTACCCACAGTTTTTCGAACACTGTCGGCTCCACAGGAATGCCAAAAACCCGAACGAGCTGTGGAAATGCATCCACCAGGCTAGAGACAATGTGGTATCTTCCAGAAGCAAGAGCTCTACTCTCAGTAAAGCACTGCTTAATCACTTTGTGCTCGGGTTCCTCATCTGGAAGCAGCAGTCGAATCGAAAGTAGTAAGTCTCACCGCTCTCAATGGTTTTGAGCAGCCGCCTTCCTCGAACTCGGGGCCAGATCCCGTTCGTGAAGATCGAGATGTGGACCTTGCTCCTATCGATCATCGACTGCTCGTATGTGAGACCAGCAGGCAAGTCAAGAGCATCCATTTGCAGCGAGAGTTCGATGCTTGCATGAGTCGTCACCAAAGCGCCATCTTTTTGAGCCGGCGCTAGGGTTTTTTTGAGATAGATGGAGGGTAATGTAGTGTTCTGTAAGGTGGAGAGGGAGCCAGGCGCGGGCTTGGCGCCAACGCCTGAGGCTGTACTTGCTCACCCAGGCGTGGATTCGATTCAGGTGGCGCCGGGCAGCACTTTGGGTGAAGCTGTTGAAAGGATCAAGCATCGGGCTGGTGAGAGGCTCCCTCCAGGCAGTGTCTTCTGGTTTCTCACCGGGAAGAACCACTGGATGAAAATACGGGCTCAGAACGCTCAGCAGGCGTTGGAGCCTTGTCGCAAGTATTATTTCCGCGTGGCCGCTCCCGAATCTTACAAAAGGCAAAAGACCAGTTGTGGTATTCTCGAGTTTGATCGGCTGCACAGCATGTTTCCCGTGTTCAAGGGCTTGCTACACTTGGATCACGTTTCCGCCACGGCGTTCCTGCGGTTTACTAACAAGTCCAGCACTCTGGACGAGCAGTGCAGGGCCATGGTGTCCGCGATTACACGCATTCACACCTGCAGCGATCAGGGTCAGTTTCAGGAGCTGGTTGGAGACTTCGAGGCTTGCTTTGGTGTGAGGCTGTTCGATCACAGGGATGAAATCTCTGCTGGGTTTGTATCCTTTTGAATCCTTTTGTACAAAACTCAAAACTTACAACTCTCCTCTGCAGGAAACTGGAGTTCGTAACTTCAAACACCAAAGAAAGTTTTCCAGCCGTGATCCTGCAGAGGGACCGCTTTGTTTGTGTGGTTGTCCGACATGGCCAGCTCCTACAATCTAAGCCCTTTCTCTTTGGCGACGCCAACGATTCTCCCTTACTGGTTTGTGTTCGTGTTCTTCTATAAATCTCACTAATAGTATTTTCAGGAGCTTGGGTTCTTATCTTGGCTGGGTAACGTGATGAGCATACGACCCATGTCTTACGAACCCGGCCAGCTTATAACCATAGCCACCGGCGGCAAGCACGATCTACGGCTTCGGGTACTGCACCAGTTTAGTACGTCGAGCGTATCCAATTCGGTCTTTAAAGTGATGGACGAGGCCACAGGCCAGCTTCTCCTCATGAAAATCGGCCACTCGATGGACACCAAGAAGCAAATCACGCAGCTTTGCCTCCACTCTCGACTTTGGGATCAGGTAATACACATGGAGCTCTTCGTCTTTATATTCACGACTCTAAACCTTTCAGCTAGAGAATGACGCAAGGATTCTCCAGCGTCTCAACGAGCATAGCGACTTGTTCCCGCGCGTCGTTTTCTCTGGCTTTTGGAACCAAATGCCTGTTCTGCTGACGGAGCTGGACGGAGAGTCGTTTGCAGTCACTTACACAACGCGTCCGCTGGAAGCGCGAGTTGTAGAGCGGCTGTGCAAGGATTTGACAGAGTCCGTCCTCGTTCTCCATGTAAGCTTACCATGCCATCTGTGCCGAGAGCTGATCGCTGGTGCTTTTGCAGAGCCAAGGCATTGCTCACGCTGATATAAACCCCTCGAACATCGGTGTCCAGCACACACGAGAAGGTGGCACTCGTTTCTACTTGTATGATTTTGGCTGTGCCGTGGATTTGAAGCAGCAAGAGCAGCACGAAACAGCAGTCAATTTGCTCTACAGTTCTTGGGAGGTGCTCGAGGGAAGAATGCCAGGCCTCATGTCGGAGCTAGTGTCGGTTGCCTACGTGTGTTTGGACATGGCCGGCGAGTGTTTGCCTTGGGAAGGGGCCGCCCTGAGAGGAGAAGTCCAGGCGTGTCGGGAATTGCGCCAAGGTTTTAGAGTTGATGATGAACTTGCCAGCTCCGGCATTGTGAGCCCAGCGCTGCAGGCTTGGCTCGCGTTTGTGGTTTCTCATCCCAGCGATGAGGCTGTGGGCTTCGACTTTGTTGCAGTGCTACGGATGGCCTCCTCACTTTTAGGACTTGCAGAGCTACCGGTAAAGGCACTGTCAACACAAGTACAGCAAACCATACACAAGTGTTGGTGCTGAAACATATGACAGAGCCATGTATCTTAACTTTGTTTACATTTGAAAATGTATAGTTAAGATTCCCAGAAAAACTTTATGCAGTTGGATGATATATAAGGAGTTATTCATTTGAGCTTTCTTATATATAGTTTTGTTTATAGTCCACTTGTGCCCAAGAGATTGCATTGTTGAGCTAAGCATCTTATTGACAATATATCTTGCAGTATATGCCAGAGAACAAGGTGAAATCCTAGTTGACACAATTATCTTCTTCGTTTTCGTTACTTTGAATCTGGTATGCTACCAACTGGCTAAGACCGAGTTTGAGAAATTAGCTTGGGATCTGGCCAAGGAGCATAACCTGCATCTGGTGGTGCTGTGCCCTACGCTTGCAACCATCACTGAATAAGCCATTTAAGCCTTTTGAATCTAAGTCATTTCCTCTATGACTTAGATTGATATGATTGAAGATGCGTATGATCCTGTGGGACAATGAGTCGGCTCCTCCGTAGAAGTTAAAGCATAATAATGGATGCCACTTTACCTTTAGAGTCCACTGCCGCCCGGCTTGCTCCTTTTAAACACACCGCGAGGCCAGTCTTCGTATTTTTTCGCGAGATTTCAAAGTTTCTGGTGCGAGATCTCGAAGTTTTTGGTGCTTATGGCGATGAGAAAGTCCCCCCAGATCGTCTCGTTAGCTTTCATCTTGCACTCTGTATCGTTCGCACTCGCAGTAGCAGCGGCGTTTCGAATCACTCACGTAAGCTGCAACTCTGGAGAGTTTATACCAAGAATTCTCTAAGATCACTTGCAAATGTTGCTATGTTCTTGGATGGATATAGGCCACTGCTCAAAGAGTTAGCGGAAATGCCCAGACTTTCACCTGTGAGTTTCACCGGGCCACGACTCTTGGAGCCGCCTCCGCGATTTTTCTCGCAGCCGGGCAGCTCTTTTTACTTCTTTCCACCAAATGTAGGTGCTGCCCGTGCCCTCCCAAGGCAAAGGTTGCAAACATTTGCACTATCATCCTTTGTATCTTCTCATGGTAAAAAGTGTTCTTCGTTTATGATCTCGAGCTCACCTAAAAGCGTTGTTTTCTCACTGCCAGGACGATGTTTCTCTTCGCGGAGATCTTCATTCTTGTGGGTTCTTCGCGAGTAAATTTATCGATGAAAAAAGTGAAACGCACTTCATTCCACGACTGTAAGGCTGCCCGGCAAGAGATATTTGGGATCGGTGCGGCTTTCGCTTTTCTCACCGCGATAGCTTCCATGGCTTACTATGTCTGCTACAACAAGGCGGCGCAGAGGATTCTCCATGCTGCTGGCCCCGTGTAGCCAAATTGTCATGCCTCAGAGATTTCGATAATAATAATAATACATTGTTTTAGATGACTTTTTAAATTAATATCTGATTCTGTGCAATAACAATGAAATGCTGCGAGAAGGAAGACCGACGACTGCTGCAGGAGCAAAGCAAATGCAAGCAGCAGCGATCTAGGACAAGGCGGCCCATCTTTCACAAAAACGAGAGTGGTCTTGCCTAGGAAAAAGAGAAACATGGGATTGGTTGATCCGTAGAAAGTTTTGTTCATTACTTCTTAAAGCTTTAGATTCTAAATAACTTTGCGACCACTTTCGTGGATGGATGTGTCTTTTGAAACAGCTTAGTATATTTCATGCTCATTGTTTTCGTATGATATCGATTTCGGAACAGCCTTTGTTTCCACGTTCATATCTACAAAGTATATATCATCGCCAACTTTTGTTTGTGAGAGAACCAGCAATGCTCAAGCTTGGAAGATATTAGTAGTAAACATAATTTTTGCTATGATAGATATTATTTAGTCAATGTTATGGATTCGAAATGGGAATTTAGTTTGTTTGGTAAGGTTTAGGGTTCTTCGTGATGGGGAAGAGGACGTCGTCGGCGTCGACGAGCGGCGCCGGCGCCGTGAAGAAGCCCAAGCTTCAGGGCCAGGATTTGGAGGTTTCCAATGTGGAGCTCATGCGATTGCTGCGGCTGTCCAGCGCGCCAAATTCCAGGTCTCTCTGCGTGCTCTCGATTTTCTCCGTGTTCTTGCTCACGATCGTGTCTCCTTTGCAGCAAGCTTGATCAGGCATTCCAGTTCGTGGAATGCCAGAAGAAGGGATCGCTCTCGAGAGGAGTGCCGATGCCGCAGTTTGTGTCGTTCCTGGCGGGATGGATTCAATCAGAGATTATTTCCAGTGCGAAGCCAGGATCCAAGGACAAAGGGGGAAATGTGACTACCGACGCTCGTTCCTGGGCTATCTTGCACTGGTGCTTGTCGAGCCAGGGAAACCTTCACGTCTATCCAGGTATTCTCAAGGGAATAGATTTAGTTCTCACAACGAAGGGTATGAGGAGAAGAGAGGGAGAACTTCTTCTGGATGGCAATGAGAGTGAAGAGCTCGAGGTGGTGGTCGTTTCGGTGATCGAGATTTTGAAGCTCTTGCTACACACTTATGACAGGAGTTTCCGGCCACAGCTTCTAGATTGGACCCTGTTTGCTTCGTCGTTCTTCGAGGCTTTGCTGCGTAGCGAACCCGAAAGATCTATGCTGGAGACCGGGGCATTGATAGCAGATGGATTCGGGAAGTTTCTCACGACTCAGGCGAATCCCAAGGCGGCATTCCAAGCGATAGTCGAGAAGCTCTTGTGTCCGCTGCTTAAGTTGACGGGGGTTTTGATCTACGAGAGAAAAGGCTGTGACGCGGTGGAGTTGCTACGCACGGCGATAGCCAGAGTTTTGGACTACGGGCTTTTTCACACAGTTCCTATAGAGGGGTTCCCAGAGGCATCCACTGCTGCTGCTAAGTGGCTCAACGATTCCAGCGCGCAGGAAATGGAAACCACAACCAGTCACAAGCTTCTGTTCGAGAAACTGAAAGAGCTGGGACAGGAAAGGTCTTTCACAGCGCTGGCATCGCTCGGGGAATTGCTGAGGCTGTTCGCACAAAGCTTTAAGGGTCACAGGGCATCCATCAAGTCGGATGTATTCGGGGTACGAGGGGTGGGACAGCAAGAAGGATCTGAGGAAAAGGAAAATCAACAGGGTGGTGAAGACGGCGAGTCCAAGAGTGTGCGTCTCACTGACAACCAGCTGCAGTTTCTGGTCTTTGTAGAGCTTTCGCTGCCTCTGATCCAGCAACTTATCGACGAGAAAGAGGTTTCCGGGAAGACAAGTTTGGTGTCTGCGACAAGTAGCTTGTTTCGCGTTGTGAAGGAACAGGTTGTGTATGTTCCAACGAGAGACACGCCGACAAATGGCCACTTTAAGTTTATCAAGCGATACTACGGGGTGCTTGTGGATTACGCAAAGTCACTTTCAGCTGTAAACGATAGCGGGATGACGGGATTGATAGCAGCTGGCTACGGGGAAATAGTTCGTGGCATAGGCGTTGTCTTGGATATAGATCATCGAGCGGCTGAAGGTGGCGTGGAGGACTTCTGGCGCATTCTACTGTCAGCAACGGTTATAGAAACTAGCGAAGTTGCAGACGTGATCGCGGTTGGATGCCAAATGCTGAGAATTTCGAGTGAGCTTCGAGATCTCGGTGAGTCTTTCGGACAAATTCAAAACTGCTTCTTAACTAGCTCTTGAATTTCAGGTGCTTTACCGGTGCTCTTTTCTTCCGTGAAATCACTGGGACCAGACGAAGGCTTGCAGTTTCTGTCGCCCTCTTTGTTCGCGCAGGGTCTTAAAAGCTTCTTTTGCGATCCTTTACTTCTAAATGCACTACGGAAGATGATCGAGAACATGCCCGAAGCTCAAGCTCCTGAAGTCGTGAACATGGTGTCAAGGGACGCTTTGGAAACGCTTCGAATGATCAACAGTACCGACGTGGTTGTCGAAGCAGTGGTGATGGCCTCAGGGGAACTTCATGCACAGATTTTGGAAAATCTCAACGTTACATCAACAAATGCTTACCAAGTAGGGGTCAACGTGAGGCATCTTGTCACCTCAGTTGTAGCAGTGCCACTTTCCGATCTTCTGGTCAAGATCTCGAAAGGAAAAGTGAAGAAACTTGCAGAATGGGCAGGGTTGAAGGCTTTCTTTCTTCTTCGGCTATACTTAATATGCCGGATGCTGCACCGACAGTGTATCTCACTTATGGCCCCTCTCAAGGCCGGGAAAGCGGCTGAAGCAGCGCACGAGCTACACTTGGACTCGTTAGAAATCGACTGGATGGAGATAGCTTTGGAACCGCAGGACTTGTCCACTTTCTCGTGGATTGGACAGGCAACTAGCGTTACCGCTCTTATCAACGGACTTCTTCTAGTGACGCAGAAGACGTCATTTCCATCGTTATACTATTTGATGGATCTCCTTGCAATTCAGCGCCTGAGTGACTTGCAAAGGTATATCCAGTCCGTTGAGTATTTCGAAGCGAAACTTACCTCCTCTTCTGTTGAAGATCCAGTTTTGCACTCGCTCGACAGTGTGGATTATCAGAACGGAAAGTCATCGTCAGAAGGTGATGTCCGTCAGTTGCTACTGGATTTCAAGGCCGAAGCGAAAGACTTGGTCGTTTTACTCCTTGATGGTGGCACCTCGTGCTCACTCAAGGAGATTGGTGAGACGGTGATCACGTCTTGGAATGGAGTTGTGGTGATGCTAACGGAGGAAAGCATGCCTTCGGCAAGATGGCAACTCATTTCTCGTACAATAGACCTTTGGTCAAGATATGCTTCCAGGAAATGTCTTACGAGCTGCCTTAGTTACGCCTTGATCACTTGGAGGCCTGAACCTCCAGCATTCGCTCAACGTCCCATTACTCGTGAGCTTCTTCATAATCTTCTATTTTGTGAGAACCAGGTGGTGTTTATCTTCTAGTTTGATGGTTTCTAACGTTTAGACATTTCTTTTTGCAGAGGGTCCAAACTGCTCTTCTACCAGCTGCTTGGAAGGCTCTACGGAAACTTCTGCATCTGGAAATAGAATTCAAGAAGTTCAAGAAGCCTTCTTTTACAGGCTTTGAGTCGTCAACCTTGAACATCCAGCTGTTGCCGGATTCAACGTTAGAAACATGCATTGGTCTTTTCCAGCTTATTGCTTCCTTTCCTTGGGGACAAAAGAAGGAGCTGGATACAATGCAGTGCATTTTCTCGGTTTGCTATGTCGAAAGGTACCGCATTTTTTCTTTGTTTTGCTTATAAGAACATGTTTTTTTTTTCTTAGACTCGCCTTAAGTATGTTGGCTGCAATTATCAAGAACAGATCAGAAATCTCAGGTGTCAAGATATTTGAACTTTTTGCCGTCTGCAGACAGACAACAAAAGCATTCGCGATTACCCGCAGCAAACAGATCGGTAGCGACGTTCCGGGATTCGATATGGACCTTTTCAGCTGGCTATATCGATCCATCAACATGGCCTCAGATTGCGCAATGAAGCTGAAAGAAAGGAGTGCTTTTGTGGCTGAATCCATCGCTGGCTCGCTGGCTTCCGCTGTCAAGAGTACGCAGTCATACATCCAGCATATTTTGAACCAGATCTTCGCGTTGGAATCGAGCTGCCTCCTTGTCAAGCGGTCCGAAGCACGGGCGGAATCAGTTGACAGGGACGACGACACTAAGTTCCTGTTCAAATGTATACAGCAAGCCGACAGTGCCTGGGACGCAGATGACAATGAGCTGCAAAGCTACAGCTTTCTTGGATCGATATCTTTCGCAAGGAGTATTTTGTGGACAGCTGCTGAAACTCTCGGGCTCCTGGACAGAAAATGTCAAGAAGACAAAAGCAGAGAGTTACGATGGCTGACAACGATTCCTTGGGTGTCGTCTCTCAGAAGTATTGAGCAAAAGGTTGTTACCATTCTACTGGGACGTATTGCAGAAGCCCGGGGTACAGAGTCACGGCAGAGCAGTATTCTAGACGTGTTTCTGGACTCGAAAAACATCGATGTGAAGGCCCTGAAAGTTGAGACACTACTGGAGGACCAGGAGGACGATGAGAGCACCGATGAAAGCGACAGTGAAAAAGAAGAGCAAGAAGACGAAGGAAAGTCTGAAACTTCGAGCGACGACGAGGATCGAAAAGTAGAACCGGCTCAAGACATTGACATGGAGGAAGTGAACGTTCGAGCGGACGAGACATCTCAGCTACATCCACTGGACGAATCGCAGAAAGCTGCTCTAAGCTGGCTGTTCGACAGCGGCTTGCAACGAGAACGATCGGAAATCGTTGGGGAGCTCTTGATGGCCATGGCTGCCTTGGTGAAGCTGAGAAGTCTACACTTTTCGCCGTATGCTTTGAAAGCGTCTTCTATCGGTAAGACGGTGGCTCCTTCGACAGTCAGTGCAGTGCTGGAAGTTGTCTATTCACTTCTCACCGAGGCAACGTCCCTTATGTATCACGCTGCGCCCGCCAAGCGTACGTGTTTCTTCTGGATTTTCGGAGCAGTCAAGTGCATGGAGTCACTCGGGCTTGTTCTACCTTCGCTTCAACCTCCGGTAGCTCGAGCAGAGTACCTGAGACTTTTGAAGCTGCATATTGATCTCCTGGGAGCTGTTATATGGCTGCAGTCGTCTGAAATAAGAGCCGGCAGAGAGCTGCATGTCGACTTTGGCCGTTTCTACGGAGACTTGGGTGCTGCGATCAGGGATTCGTTTTGTGCGCTCATCAAGTTCGCACCAGTGCCGCAGCTTCTTCTTGCGTTTCAGACTATACAGAAGGCACTTTGTGGAAGCTCTGACGTTTCCAAGTTCAGCTCCGCTTTGAGACTCGGTGACTCTGACGATGGAAGAGTTGGAGTTGTAACTGCGGCTTGTGTGGAGTGCCTCGCAGTCGCTCTGGACGCTGTTTCAGGTAAGTTGCTGTTTTATTTTTCCATCGTGACCTCTATGATCGTCTTTTTGTTTTACAGGTCCACGACGTTTAAAAGTCCTTGCAAAGTACTCACCGAGATTCATCGCCGAGCTAGTGAATCTAATCACGCATCTTCAAGGACCAGCTGTGTTTTATAAGAAAAAACGGCAGGAAGAGAGGCCAGCTACAGTCGCCTCCTCCTCCGTCCTTCTCCAGAGCCTGGACATCATAACAAGGATCGCTTCCCGCGAAGTCATTTTCTGTATGAAAGCCACTCACGTTGCTCTTGCTCTGCACAGTCCCGTGGGTATTTTAAAGCCAGTATATCAGTTCAAGCTCCCAAGCTACACCAAGCACAGGAATCCCCGCTTCAAGATTGAGGATGGCAATGTGGACGCTGAGGTCGTCTTGCATTTTTATATTGCATCGTGCAAGCTGCTATATACAGTCTTAAAACATCGGAAAAGGTAACATATTTGATCATTTTGAGCATCCATCTAAAGCGCTCTCTTTTGTCCTCTCACAGAGAGAGCGGCCGCGCTATTGCACTTCTGGGAGAATCTCTTCGTGTGCTGTTACACTGTTTGGAAAGTTCATCAAAGCTTTGTACAATGACTACGGTTACTGCTATGCAGTGTGCCCGTTGGCTTCGGCGAATATATGAAGAGGTAACTTTTCTTTGCCGTGTTTTACATGTTTTTTTGCCTGAAACATTGTTTCCCGTCGATCCAGCTCGGAGAACAGAAAGAGACCTTGGGAAGGTACTGCATAAACGTCCTCTCCGATTATCTGTCCGTTTTGTCAGGAGCTGGACCTTTTGAAGCCGGCCTGGACAGGTAAAGTCCCTTTCTTTTCCCTTCGTATCGTAAACCAAAACTTCCTTTCAGGGAGGTGGACAAGGAGCTTCGACCGGGCGTGTACGCACTCTTGAGCTCGTCTCAAGATCTACAACAACTCCACGCCGCACTTGGAGGTTACGCCTTGCATTCGTGTTATGAGATTCTCACTGTTGATCTAGCAGAAGGACCTCTGAGAAGCAATCTTGCGATGATTAGGAAAGACTACGAGAAAAACTTCAAGTACACCGGAAAAATCTAACCTGGTACGTAAGACCGTTCTAGTCAATATGATGGATTCTGCCATTCTTGATATGCCTGGTTTGGATCTTGCATGTAAGCCTGGCTTGGATCGTAAGCTTGGTACTGGTATCCTTGGTTGGGGTCTTGCACGTAAGGGTCCTGATGAAAACCATAACTTTGCATCTGAGGGTCTTGCATATACATCTGCTGCATCTGAGGATCTTGCATATACATCTCCTGCATCGGATCTTGCATGTACATCTGTTGCATCTGTGGATCTTGCATATACATTTGCATCTGAGGATCTTGATATCCTTGGTATAAGTTCCCTGCCATTTGTCCATATGGATCTGTCTGGTAGAACGTGTAGTTTCCAGGAATCTGGCCTTGAAGGTATGCCGCTTGCATGTAGTTTGGATCGTTGTAGAGAGCCCCGCTCTGCATGTATCCTGCTTGTGGACTTTGCATCCAGGGAGACATTGCAGCCAGTGGATTCTGAGCTACAAATCCCTGCGGGAAAGTTCCCACTGCTGAGTCTGCCTGCTGCCGAGGACTTGCCCAGGAATCGTCATCTTGAGCAGACGCTTGTTCGTCCTCCGTTGTTGCTTTGCCTTTGCCTTTCTGCTTGCGAGACTTCTTTGATCCAGCGTCGGACGACGTCTCGGATGGTGGTGACTTCTTCCCTTTGCCTTTCTTGCTTCTCTTGCTGGTGGAACTCGCTTGAGAGCTTGTTGCTGACGAACTCTTCGGTATGGAATCCGCAGGTGTGTCTTCCTCCAGCCACGACGGGAACAGCGTGTCTTCGTCCTCTTCCACCAGAGCGGCGGCTCTCTTCTTGGCGGTTTCGTCGTGCTCCTCGCCTTCAAGGATGATATCAATCACCGCCGACGGCTCGACGTGCTCCTGTTCCTCCTCCTTGGGCTTGACGGCCTGCTTTACCTCCTGGGCGACGCTCTCCCACCTCCCGCTGACGCGCATCACGAACCACGTCCGGTACAGTATGGCAAGCAGCGCAGCAATCACCACGATGTTGACAACCGAGGCCTTGTACCACTTGCTCTTGACGTTCTGCAAGATGCCGGCCTTGCAAGAGTCGCAGTCGAGGCAGAGCTCGTTGGCGTTCCACACCGAGCAGTCCGCGTCCGCGTCCGGGGTGCTGGGAAGCCGCCAGTTGGTCCCGCCTTGGTAAGCAAAGCCACAGGGAAATGGTGGAGCGCAGCATCCAGACTGCGAACAGCACAAAGTTTACGTGAGAAGAGCAGCAACGTTTACGTGAGAAGAGCAACGATCGATTCAACAACGAAAGAGAAGATGGAGAGGGGACCTGTGTGGAGGACAGCTTTGCGGAGTACACCTCCTCGGCCGAGCCAAGGTTCCAGTTGTGACAGAAGCTCCCTTTGGCGACGCACGACCGGATGTCCTGCCAGTGCGATCCATTCCCGACCAGCTTCCTCTGGAGCCACTTGGAGTAGTCCGTGAAGAGGTACCGCCGGAAGGCTATGCCTGGCAGCTTCTTCCCACCACCTCGATAAGTCACGGCGAAGCCGAACAGGGTGAAGCACAGCAGCATGACAACCAGCACGGCCGTGAGGAAGAAGTGGATCTTGACGATGCCGAGACGGTTCCACCACACCCCAGCGAATCCAGCCAGGGAGATCCCGAGTAGCAGCAGGCTGAAGAGGAAGCCGATGGTCACGGCCGGAGTGAGGAGGAAGGCCAGGCACTCTCTTTTAAACGCGGAAGCTAGGGAGATGGAGACTCCGAGAACTGGGATCGCCAAACCCGCACTAAAGGCGTTGAGTCCCAGCAGCATGAGCGAGAACCAATCGTCCTGGACTTTGCCGATCGCCCAGCCTTTGTCCTCGAAAGTTTTGCGCCAGGCTACCAGCTTGTTCGTGATCCCGGACGCCGCCTCTCCGCCCAGGTTCGCCATCTCTTTCTCCAGCTCCTCTCCAGAGTGCTTCATCTTCTCCCCAGTTTCTTTCATCCTCTTGCCAGTCTCTCGCATCTTCTTCTTCGCGTCGGCCTGGAGCTCCTTCCCTTTGGCCTTCATCTTGGCTTTCATCTCCCTCCCGCCTTTCTCCATCTTGGCCTTGAGCTCGTGAGACTTGTCTCTCATCTTCTTCTTCATCCCCGCTCTTGTGTCTTTCATCTTCTTCTTCATCTCCTCCGACTTCTCGTGGACCTTGTCCTTCATCTTCTTGCGCAGCTCGTTCCCCTTGGCTTTCATCTTCTGCTGCATCTCCACCCCCTTCTTCTTCATCTTCTCCTCCAGCTTGGCGCCCTGCGATTTCATCTTTGCTTGCATCTTCTTGCCGCCGGCCTTGAGCAGATTCCCCAGCCCCGACGCGAGTTTGCTCTTCTTCCCATCTTTCTTCGCTCCCGATTTCTTGTCCTTCTTCTTCTTCTTCGTCTCTTTCCCCTTCGCTTTGAGCACCCCCGGCTTTCCCTTGCCGTGCTGCTTCTTCCCCTTCTTCGGAGCCATGCCGATCGATCAATCCAATCCAGCTACAGCGCGCCGAAACCTCCAATTGCCATTTCTCCTCGCGTCAACCCGCCTTCTCCAAGAACCCTAAAAATTCGAATTCGAAAATTTGAATTTGAATTTACCGCGCACGTCAATACTAGACCATGATAAATACAATTAATTCCATCGCTCCTTTGGAAGTCACACAAAATCTAGAAGAACAAAAGAATCACTCACTCTGCTCTCTCGATCATCAAAGAAGCTTGCAGCTCCTCTAGTTGTTCATCGTTCAAGCCTTCGAGACAATCCTTTGCGCTCGCAAAGATCTGTGCCTGGCCTCTCAACTGCTCATCGTCCTTTGCGCTCGCAACGATCTGTGCCTGGCCTCTCGACTGCTCATCGTCCTTTGCGCTCGCAACGATCTGTGCCTGGCCTCTCGACTGCTGCTCTACCGCCTCCTGCTCGAATCCATCGTGGTCGCCCAGCGAAGAAATCTTGAACAGCCCCGGCCCGTTGAGACGCTGCTCCCTGTCCGAGACGTTCTCCTTGGTCACCACCTCTCCATCCGCCGAGACCTTGAGCTGCTTCTTCTGCGACGATCTTCCAGAGCTGAGCTTCCTCATCGACTTGCTGCGAGCGCTCGATCTCTTGCCGCTGCTACTCCTGCTCGTCTCCTTTGGCTTCCTCTCCGGAGGAGTTACCAGCAGGAGCCGCGACATTACGTAAGCCAGCAGCTCCTCCCTGTGCGCGAACGTAAAGTCGAGGTGCGCGTACTCGTACTCCTGGTACGAGGCCTGCCCCCCCGCGGCCTTGAGCGTCTCGTAGTGCTTCCTCACCATGCTCCTCGGGATGAGCCGGTCCTTCTTCCCGGCCACGAAGTCCACCGGGATGTCGATCACGTCGTAGAAGGCCGCCACGTCCAGCGGCTCCGGCGTCCCATACGCCTCCGTGTTGGCCGCGACGCTGCCAAAGTCGTACATGATGAACCTCTTGGCGCGCAGCATCTGTGTCATGTGCTCCGCCACCATGTACGCCACCCCGGGCATGTCGTCCATGTTGTAGTGCGTCTGTCCCAGCGCTCCGACCCAGTTGGAGCTGTCGCCACCCACGACGGAGCCGCAGAGGAGCTGGACGAGGCCGCCGAGAGCTGGATAGTTTTGAAAGTCGCGGGCGAGCTTGTTGAGAACCATCCGCAAGAACTTCGTTGGAATGTAGATACCAGGGACGAGAGGCCGCAGCACCGGACCCAGCAGAGGAATGAGGTACTGCAAGATGTAGAAAAGCCAGGGGGAGTCCTCGTGGAATCCAGCCGGCGAGAGAAGGATGAGCCTCGAGAGTCGATGCGGCCGGCCTTCGAGGCGAGCTGTGACGACGTACATGAGCATGGCCGCACCGCCTAAGCTGTGAGAGATCCCGCACAGCGTGTAAGGCATCTCCTCCTCGGTAGTGGACGAAGGGGATTCGGATAGTTCCTGCAGCTCGGACGTCTTGAGCTCGTGTAATCTGTTTATCATGGCAGGGACGTCCTGCGTGGCGTGCTCGTTCACTGAGTATCTCCAATATCTGAAGAACAAAGGCTCCAAGGCATAAGATTGTAGAAGGGAAGGGGAGATGAAAGAGTAGCCTGACCTCTCGGAAGAAATATGCTTATTTACATGCTCTCTGGACACTAGCCCCCGAAAGTTGCCGAGAAATACATCGTACCCTGGAAAAAGCCAACACCGTTACACGAGACGAGTGAAATGGAGATTGTCACTTACCATGGTCGTACGCAGCGAACGCCTGCGAGCCTACAACACCATTTGAGACCCATCTGGAAATTTTTAACAGCTTTGATACGAACGAAAAGAAAAAATGCTATAGATACTCACCCGAGTGACGAGTCAAACATTCCATGCTGCAAATACACCACTTTTTGCGAATCCCGTCTGCAAACTCATGTCAACAAAAACAATTACATCTCAAGCATCAACAGGTTACCTGGGAATTCTTTCTAATAAAAGTACATATCCGTCCTCAGTGGTTACTCGGAGACATTCATATGGGTAACTGCAATGCAATATTTAGTCCAAGAAAGATTGCAAAAAAACAGAAAGAAAATGTCGATACTCACCCAAGGTCAGTAATGATATCCTTACAAGTCCTAGCATCGGTGTTTAATCTCTGTTTGGGCCTCGCTTCTCGAAACGTTGGAGCTGGATCAGCATCGCCCAGAACACTCTTCTGCTCGAGAGAAGGCGCTTCTTCTTGCTGGCAAAAAATCTTCCGAGCTAAGGTTTTCATAGTCTGAATGGGTGAGATAAAGTAGAATAGAATGTTGTGCATCACGTCAAAAAATCTCTCGATGGAAAGCTCCATCAAAAGCTGTAAGTCCTGAGCAAAGGAAAACAAAAAAGAGGCTTAGCTCTTCGAGACCTTTCAACAAAGGACTAAATCACTTACCTCGATCACACCTCTTCTCCGACTATCCGAGCTTTGGTGCAGCATCACAAAGTCTCTCATGCTGTTGAAGCGTTTGCTGGCCAGGCTATACAAGCTCGTAAAGCTCCCGGAGCTTCCACTCCGGCTGTGAGATATAAATCTCCTCCTGCTGCTCTCTCTTGGCTGCTGCCTCCATACCAGTATAGGCCAAGCTATCAAACGCAAGAAACGCCGAAAGAGAGAGGACCTCCCCTGCCTTCTCGACATACTGCTCGACCTCGAAAAATGCGAAGTTTGTGAAGATGGCGACGGTGGCATACTATCGTCGTCCAACCCAGATTCATACTCGGACTCAGTCTCACTGTCGGTATCAGCCGCGTACTCGTGAATAAATTCGTTGAAGGAAGAAACTCCACTATAAAAGGCAACAAGAGAAAACGATCATTCAAGAAACGTGAAGACAATTAGAATTAATTCTTACTGACAATGAAGAAGAAAAACTTGCAACCATCACGACTGGAAGGAAACTAAAACGAATCAAACATAAAAAAACTGCAAGGACGATCCTGTCTAAATCAGCTAAAAAGGACAGAATTCTCACTGACCAGAGAGAGAACGAACAGCACATCGAAAAAAGGAAACCAAAAGCATTGAAAGGACTCGCCACGCATCAGCAACATCTCGCTTTGGACGAATCTCTATCACGGAATGAAATAATACTTGGAAATATTCAAGAACTTAAGGTGGAACCCTGTCTACTCTGCCGACAATGAGGAAATAAAAACTTGCGACCATTAGAACAGGAAGTAAACTTAAGCGAATCAAAAGCTCGCAAGGAACTTAGGAACAATCGTGTCTTAAAAGGACTGGTCACAGGGAGATCTAACACCACAAAGAAAAAGGAAACCAAAAGCATTCGAAAGAACTTGCCGACTCCCTATCACAAAATGAAAACTTGGAAAACTTACTTCTCCATCCATCGCGGCATACGAGCAGCACGAAAGGTCGGTTGGAGCTCCCATCCTTGTATACCCTCGAGCATTGCCGTCTTCCCAGGAATGAGCGCGAGAAGCATTGCCGAGAATCCATTGATGAGCTTGATCGTGATGTTGAAGGCCTCCTGCGTGAAGGTCTTGATCGACCTGGAGGAGCGCGGGAAAGGAAAGAATCAAAATCTAGACGAGAACCCCAAAATCCCCTAGCTTACTCTTTGGCGACGCCCAATGCGCCCTCAACCACGCTCTCGATCATCGCCGCGGCGCACACGCATGGATGGATCGACCGCTCGCCCCGCCCCGCCCGGAGAGAAGAAGAGATTTAGGGTTAACACGATCACCAGCGTCCCTTAGCTCGCCACAAAGCGCAAAGCGCAAATCCAGCAATCCACAGCAAAATGCTTCGCGAGATCCCTCGACACGCTTCCCCAATCAACAAAAAACCCCCACTCTAGTCTTTCCGATCTTCCCCCAATCCAACAGTCGCAAGCGCGCCAGCAATGCGCCCTTCTGCGCCCGACATGTGGCACGGCCCCAATCGTCCACACGTGGACCGTCGAGATCTATGAAGATTTAGGGCTTTGGGCGATTGGAGATTTAGGGTTTATAGGCGATGGCGAAGGGGAAGAAGACTGGGCGCATTCTCATCCGCCTCGTCTCCTCGGCGGCCACGGGATTCTTCTATGTCACCTCCAAGAATCCGCGCAAGACGCCCCACAAGCTGGAGCTCGTCAAGTACGATCCACGGGTAAACAAGCACGTCGTCTTCAACGAAGCAAAGATGCGATGAAGAAGACGAAGGACGCGCAAAATGTAGGCTAGTTTTTTCCACAAATTCTCTTCTGGGTTTATTCACAAGATCGATGCTGGCATGGAGCTCGAGTGTCAGCCACTGCCCAAGAACAAAATACCCACTGTCAAGAACAAAAAGGATGGAAAATTTACGTACCCTTGTCGCAGTGATCCAAAGTTTCTTCGGTGAGATCCTCCAAAACTCTTGCGCTTCGATCTAGCACAGGCCTCCCTGGAAATCAAACTCGCCGCGCAGCCACTTCGCCTGCTTCGCGGTCTCGACGTAGCTCTGGAACTTCTCGTGCGCGTTGGGGACGTCGAGCGCGAGCTCGTTGAGCAAGTTGTAGACCCTGGTGAATCCGGCACACATCTGGCTGGTGGTGATGAGCCCCTCCCTCGAGCACTGCTCCAGCAGCTCCAGCGGCCGCTCGTTTTGCTTCTCCATCGCCATGTCTAGCACCCGCTTGACGATCTCGTGGTGGAAAAACGGCATGTTGAGCTCGCGGATGCACCGGCACGCCTCCGTCAAGTCCCCGCCAGCTTCGAACTCCTCCACGATCTTAAAAACTTTGTCTTTCGCGTCTTCGATCGCCCAGCCTGTGCCGCCACCCCAGCACCGGAGGATCCTCTCGCCGGCGTGTTGGGCCGAGAGGATGCTCTTGGCGTTGCCGACGATCTCTCTTCCCAGCGAGTTCTCTAGAAGTTGTCCCTTGATCTGTTCCAGGTAGAACGGCGTGAGGACGTTGTCAAACACGGCCCTGGCGAGGAAGAAAGTGAGCTGAGTTCCTGCGTCTGGAGTGTCCAGTGCTGTGTCTTCGGCGGACTCGAGAAGCAGGACGAACCCCTTGGCAACTTGGTCAGTGTCGGACTCTGTGTGGATAATTGACAGCAAGCTCGAAGCCATCTCTTTCTCCCGGCTTCTCCTGTCCATCGCTAGCAGAATGAGCCTCTTGATGAAGAGAGGGTACAAGTCCTGGACGCTCGCCAGGTCTTGCAAGCTCCTCAAAACTTCCTGGGAGTCGTCGGACGAGAAGTACTCGTGGATGATGGCCGTGGACTTTTTCTTGAACTCTGCGCTTGAGAAGTCGGGCTCTGGAGCTGCCGAAGCTAACGAAGTCTGGAGCGAAGGACTCAGCCATCCTTCATTCACTGCCGCTGACACCAGCGGCTTCAACTTCTCGCGAGCCTCGGCGCTCGACTCCTCGAGACATCTCATGAAGCCTTTCGACATCTGGCTGGGGCTGATGAGGCCTTCTTCCGAGCAGTGCTTGAGTAACGCCAACAAGGAACTTTGCGTGCTCTTGTTGCTCTTCAGGGACAAGGTAGCGGCCCTCTTCACGAGCTCGTGGTGATAGTAGCCCATGTCAAGCTCTCGGATGCACTGGCAGGCCTTTGTTACGTCCCCGGATTCTCTATACTCCTCGAGCGTCTCGTCTATCTTCTTCACCAGAAGCTCCACCGTTGAGCGAGTACTTCCTCCCCATTTCTTCTCCACCATGTCGGCATGAGCAGATGGTCCCAAGTGCGTTGCCATAGCCTTGTTCACAACTTCCATCCCCTTGGATCCTTCTGCCAAGAGCTTCTGTGCGTCCGTGAGAAATGCGGGTGGAAGTATGTCGTCCACCACTGCGCGAGCCACGAACACCGCCAAGATCTTGACTGCGTTGGGATTATCCAGCACCAAGTTGTCCACTGAGAGAAGCAACTTCCGGAAGCCTTTAGCCATCTGGTCCGCTGGAACAACGTCGGCATACAATGCCGAGAGCAGCACCGCGGCCTTTTCCTTCTCGCGATCACGCTTGTCCATGGCTATGGAGACGAGCTTCTTCACAAAGTAGTGCTGAAAGTCCGGGCACCCGAGATCACGTAGCTCTTGAGCTGCCTCGTCTATGTTCGACGACATGAAGTACTCCTCGATGGCTAACAGGACTCTTCCCTTGAATTCTTCCACGGATTCGGCAACCGGAGCTTCCACCAGCCAGTAAGGTTCCTAGAACAGATAAAAAATCTATCGTAACTTGCGTTTTCTATCGAAAAAAAAAATGAACTTACTTCCTCGCTATCGTAATTTGGATCGTCGGGATGGATTCTAAGCTCGACTATCTGATCCAGTTGGCTGCCCCAGGTGCCTTTCCCGCTCCCGCCAGCTAGAGAGAACAAAAAATTTTAATCGAGAGAACACGAATCGATGGATCCGAAATTCATGCAAACCTTTCTTTGCCTTGCATGGCTTTTTACGATTGCTCGAATTCTTCTCCCGGCCCCTCTCCATGCAAGCGGAGCTCATGACTTTGCGCTGATCATCCGTCAAGACGGCCATTCCTCCTCCCGCCTGGAGATCACAATGCCAGCACAGGCCGCGAGAATTCCTCACCTCGCCAAGCTAAAGATCGACGCCGCGGCGCGGGATTTCGACGCCCTAGCGAGATCTTGCCGTTCCAATCCAACCCTAAGAAAGAGGCTGCTACATTTCGCTGGGCGGAAGGAGAAGAAATGAAGCAGGTGATTTGTCTGGCCGTCCACGTGTCTCTCATCGAGACCTGCCAGAATATTCACTTCTGCTTTTAACGGATGGTTAAAGAAAAACGGAATATGCCACGTTATGGAATATGCTCGCCTGATCGCCCATGCCCTGTGCGCTTCTCTAGAACCGTTGCTATCAACAAAAGGCTAAGATTTTCATGTGTTCGTACGCTATTCCTAGTGGAATTTTGGACCGTGTGGCCCAACCAGGCTAGAAGCAAAACCACCATATCGTGAAGAAGGGATATCGATCATGCATGGATGATCATCAGGGCAGCGACTCCAAAAAAAGAAAGGGGAGCTGCCGCAATGGCGGCGATCTTCGTGAGGCTGCGAGCGATTGCAAGCGATCCAGAGTAGAAGCTGAGGAAGAGGCCGAGGATTCGAAGAATTCCAGCGGTTCAAGCGCGAATCGCATTGGCCGGACCGAAATCTCGCCCCAGGAGATGCAATGCGAGCTGAGCGCCAGCGCCAGCACGGTGACGAGCATCGAGGAGGAAGTGGACGACCAAGAACGAGGTAAATCTTGCCACAATGCTTTTCCTCTCCTCCAAGATTCCATCTCCGGCTCCGAAATATCGTTGCATCGCGACGGGATCGACCAAGAACGAGCTGGATCTTTCCGGGATCTCCCTCCTCTTCTCCACGAATCCATCACCGGGGACGATCTATCGCAGCGCCGCGATGCGATCGAAGAAGACAACGCCAGCGACAGGAAACTATTCGTTCTTTCTTCCGGGAGGCCGCGATTGGAGCAAGAAGACAGCGCTCCCACGATCGATGCCGAGTTCCAAAGCTACTTCTCCAATCTCATGTTATAAGCGGTTGACATGGGCGCTCCATTTTTCCAGGGTTTTTAGTCAAGGGAGGGCGCAATGAGGGCGCTGCTCGTCAAGTCCTATGGCGATCCAACGCTTGCTCCATCCGAGAATGGCCCTCTCTTCGTCGACGAGGATCATCCACGGCCCCGGATGGTATCGAATTCCTCGGTGAGAGTCCGGGTAGCCGCCGTGAGTGTGAATTTCGCCACAGTTTTGTCGATCGAGGGTAAGTACCAGGAGAAGCCAGCGCTGCCATTCACCCCCGGTGGTGATTTCTCGGGCGCGGTGATCGAGGTTGGGGATCACGTCAAACGCGTTAAGGTGGGGGATCACGTCTGTGGCGTGGTGGACCTGGGATCTTATGCCGAGGAGCTGGTCACTGACGAAAAATATCTGTAAGTATCTTTTCTCTTGGCTAGATTTTACAAGTCTTGGTTTTTTCTTCCAGCTACAAGGTTCCCTCTGGCTGTGATCTCATTGCAGCAGCAGGGCTTCCAGTCGCGTTTGGAACTTCACACGTTGGATTAGTTCACCGAGCAAATCTTAGACGAGGACAGGTATGTGATGTTTTTTCCTGGAATTGCTTGCAGATTTGATTCTTATATCTTTCAGGTGCTGCTCGTGCTCGGAGCTGCTGGTGGAGTTGGCCTGGCAGCAGTACAAATCGGCAAGTTGTGTGGAGCGATCGTTATAGCTACTGCAAGGTATTTATTCCATTCCATACTCTTTAGCTAACGCAGGAATTTTCAGAGGGAGTAGCAAGACAAGTCTTTTAAGATCAATGGGGGCCGACCTTGTGGTTGATTCCGGGACTGAGAGCCTCCTCAAAGCCGTACCAGCATTCTTGAAAAGTAGAAAGCTCTCTGGAGTCGATGTGCTCTATGATCCTGTCGGGGGGAAGCATTTCAAGGAAGGCCTCAGGCTCTGCCGCTGGGGAGCACAAATCATAATAGTTGGCTTTGCAAGTGGAGAGATCCCTTCTCTTCCTGCAAACATAGCACTTGTTAAGGTCAGTATGCTTGCCTTTAAGCTTGTGGATGTAAAGTTTTTGTTCTTCTTTTATAGAACTTGACAGTCCATGGACTTTACTGGGGAAGCTATAAGGTACACCACCCAGAGGTCCTAGAAACTTCCCTACAACAGTTAATTGAAATGCTTGCGGATGGTTCGATCCAGATCAATGTTTCACACACTTACGATTTGTCCGAGGTCAGTCTCTCACATTCTAGATGCCGATTGAGCAGTGCCATCTAATGCTTGTTTTCAGGTTAATTTGGCTTTCTCATCCATCGTGCAAAGAGAGGTCTTGGGAAAAGTTGTTGTTGTATTTGACGGCGACAAGGAGTCGAAGCTTGGTTCCGAGAGAAAGTCTCGACTTTGAACTGGCAACGAGGAATCTATACTCTGCTTTCTGCGGATTAACTATTAACTAGATAAGGTTTTTAATTGATCTTCCAGGACTCGCTAGCCTACCAGCAGAGAGAAACTTTCAAACGCGTGATCAATGGAGCTGATCCCAGGTTTGTAACGCGGTAAGTGGCGGCTAGAGTTGAACAGTTCCTTGTTTACTCGTTCTTTTTAAAGCACGGATGGAGCCACGAGTCGACGACCTCGTAGGATGAAGTCTTATAGCTCTCCGAGTGGCCAGCGCCAAGTTACTGGAGGTACCTTGCTACCTCGTCTTTCCGGGATTGAAATGCAGGACTTGGATTTACAGTGTTCTCAAGACGGAGATCATCATCATCATCAGCAGCAGCAGCAGCAGCGACAGCGGCAGAGAAAGGAGGAGGAGGATTTTGTGAGTGTTGGATGCTCGGGACGATTGAGGAGCATCTTCACGAGAAAGGGGGTTTTCCAAGAGAAGCACAGTAGTGATGGATGGTGCTCGAGGCTGGTGAGGAGGCTCTTTGGAGGAGCTTCCACTTCCAGCACCTCTCCTTCGAATTCTGGAGAGGAACAACGATCCAGCTCGCAGTATCGACGTCTTCCATCCGAGCTCTTCGCGAAGGTTCGGGGCAACACTGTTTGGAAGGACAGGTTTGAAAGATTGACAAGCTTCGCAAAGCACGAGCACGATGATGATCGTGGAAAGGAATCAAGTGGCGTGACACCACTTTGGGAAAGACGAATGCTCGCTCCAATTCCAGTGCTCGAAATCCATAGATAACGACAAAAGGCAAAAAGGCCATTTTCAAAATAAAGCATATCCTAGAATATCACTTTTTCAATGTATTAGGGCTCTTCTATAAGTATATTCTAGCATATTTGACTTTCCAAATTATTAGGGTTCTTCGAAGGCATTTCGCTCGTTCCAACGCTCGCAGAGTAGCGATGATGTCCACAGGTGTGGCCTTGTTTCTTCTTACACTGGCCTCACTCCAGGGATCGCACAGCATTCTCACGAAAATGTGAGAGGAACTTCCAAAGAATGGGCGATGACGAGCGAGCGCCTCAAATCCAGCCTCGTGGGCGACCTCGACGCGCAGGGATTTGCCTCTCTCCTGCGAGAATGCGCGCGATCGCGGGACTTCGCCGAGGGATCTCTCGTCCACCAGCGGATAATCGCCTCGTCCCGCCACCGCCACGATCGATTCCTCCAAAACCTCGTCGTGAGGATGTATGGCGAGTGTGGCCGAGTGGATGAGGCGGCCAAGGTGTTCCATTCCATCGCCCGCAAGAATCTCTTCTCGTGGAGCTCCATGATCGCGGCCTTTGCCCAGAATGGGCATTCCACCGCGGCTGTGGAGCTCTACTCGGACATGATCCAGCGATCGGGGCTCCGCCCAGACAGCGTCGTCTTCGTCGCGCTGCTGGGCGCTCTTGATTCGCTCCAATCCATCCGGGAGATCCACGCGGAAACCATCTCGGCAGGCATCCACGGCGAGACGATCGTGGGCACCGCGATCGTCAACGCCTATGGCCGGCTGGGCAGCGTGGAAGAATCCCTCTCGGCGTTTCACTCGATCCTCGCCAAGGACGTGATCGCATGGAATTCGATCATCGCGGTTCTCTCCCAGCATGGCGAGCTCGATCGAGCGCTAGAGCTCTATCGCAAGATGGATGAGAGCGCGGTGCCGCCGGATCGCATCACGCTAGCTAGCCTGCTGGACGGATGTGGGGGCGATCGTCCGCGAGAGCTTGAGATTGGGCGATTCATCGACAAAGAGAGCGTACGGAAGGCTCTCCGTGGTGACCCAGCGATAGACAACGCACTGATCCGGATGTACGGGCGGTGCCGGAGAGTAGAAGAGGCAAGAGCGGTGTTTGCGACCATGGGCTTGCGAAATCTTGCGTCGTGGAACGCGATCATCGCGGCAAATGCCCAGAACGGGTGTTTTACGGAGGCGATCCAAGCGCTGGAATCTATGATCCAGTTGAAGAGCGTCAGACCGGACCGGATGAGCTTCTCGGTCCTGCTAGATTCGTGCTGTGGGAGCGAGCACCTTGCGCATGGAGTGAAGATTCATGGATTGATCTTTCTGTGCGCGATCGGTTCGGCTCTTTTCCTTGACAACGCCTTGATCACGATGTACGGAAGATGTGGCAGCGTGGAGAGAGCGCGGAATGTTTTTGCCGCGATGGAAGAGAGAGATCTTGTGTCATGGACTGCGATAATATCAGCAAATGCCGCTAATGGGCATTTTCTGGAGAGTGTTCTTCTCTACCTCTGGATGATCCAAGAGGGTGTTCTTCCAGATAGAATCACTTATGCCACGCTTCTAGCCGGATGCTTGAAGCAGCGAGCTATCGATCCCGGGCGAATGATCCACGCCCACATCGAGAGCTTCTATGGCCGGAGCATGGATCGAGACAATGTTCTTGGCAGCCACCTCGTCAATCTCTATCGCCGGTGTGGATCTCTCGAGGAAGCCAAGTCGGTGTTTGATCGCTTGGGCGATCCAGACGCCTCGTGCTGGAGTGCGATGATCGCGAGCTACGCGCAAAGCGGCTATGGATCCCAGGCGCTGGAGCTCTTCCAGCGGATGGATCGCCGTGGTATCGTGCCGGATCGCCTGGCATTCCTCTCGATCTTGAGCGTTTGCTCGAGCATCGATCTTGGCAGGCGATTCCACTCGCGGATCGCGAGCATGGATCGCGAGAATTCGATCGCGACGGCGCTCATCCAGATGTATGGGAGACTCGGATTCGTGGAAGAATCCAAGAGGGTCTTCGATGGATTGGAGAAAGAACAGGGCGATGGAGACGATCGCGACGCGGCGGTGTGGACAAGCCTGATCCAGGCCTACGCTCGCAACAATCGTCCCAGAGAAGCTCTCGAGATCTTCGCTGCGATGATGGATCACCGCTGCGAGCCCGACGCCGCGAGCTTCGCGAGCGCCATGGATGCGTGCTCGAGCCTCGGGGATTTGACGCTCGCGAGGAAGATCCACGCCCAGATGATCAGCCTCTCCTCGAATCCCCGCGAGGAGATCCAAATCCTCGCGACCAACGCGGCGATCGCCATGTATGGCAAGTGTAAGAGCTTGGAGGAGGCGAAGACCGCGTTTGACCGGGCGATCCACGCGAAGAACACGGTCAACACCGCGACCTGGAACGCTATGATCGGCGCGTACGCCCAGAACGGGCATCCGGGCGCCGGGCTGGAGCTCTACCAGCAGATGAAATCGCAGGGAATCCAGCCGGATCGAGCGACGCTGGTGATCGCCCTGGACGCCGCCGCGATGATCGAGGAATTCGAACTGGGGCGAGACGTTCTCATCGATGGAGCGCTAGAACACGACGAGAGGGTAGCGACAGCAATGATTGGAATCCTTGCGCGCAGTGGAAAGACGATTAGAGCCAAGAGGGTCTTCGATTCCATCCCGAGAAGAGATGAAATTTGCTGGTCCGCGATGGTCACAGCATATGCCCAGAACGGGCATTCCATCTTGGCGCTAGAGCTCTTCTCGGAGATGGTGGTCGAGGGATTCGTCGCAGACAAGGCCGCGATCGTCTCCATCCTCGCGGCCTGCAGCCAAAGCGGCGATTTCCGCCGCGGGCGATCCTACTTCACGTCGATGCAAGCCGATTTCAGCGTGGATCCAATCGCGGAGCACTACGCCTGCGTCATCGATCTCTTCTCGCGGATTGGGTGGATCCGCGAGGCGCAAGAGCTCGCGAGAGAGATGCCCTTCAAGGCCGATCGAGCGGCGGCCATGGCGCTCCTTGCCGGGGGCCGGACAGGGGGCGTACGGAGCTTCCGCGGCGATGATCTTGGGGCGTCGCTGGATTGCGCTGCTCCGTACGTGCTTTTGTCCAACATTTACAAACAATCCGTTTGATCATTATCACAATGAAAGTCAATCAAAAGTCAACCCAGTCAATGACAAGCCAAATGAAGGTTTAGCATCTTATTTGTTTTTTTTTTTTTCCTTTTTTCCTTTTTTCTCTTTGCTTCTAAATCAAGCTTCCTCTTTTTTTCCAAACGTCCATCGATGATCGTGGGTGATTTGCTTGAGCCATAATTCACGTACTATGTAGCATCTCAACAAAGTCAAGGATACTGGTATATCAACTTATCCACTTTGATCGATCCCTCTTTTATGGTTGCCTAATAGATCGATCTCTCAACCATGGACAATGCTCGTTCCAGCCAGCGAGACGAGGAGGACGAGCTCCATCACGGTAAGAACTACGATGCCTACGTGATCAAGAAGCTCGCCGCTAGTAGCAACACCACCATGATCCCAGGGATCAAAGTCTGGGGTATCGTCTTCTCCCTCTTGTTCTCGACACTCTTGCTCGTCCTCTTCCTCAATCCCAGCGCTCTTCGATCCCAAGACGTCTCGCTTGGAACATCTCCACCGCCACCCCGAGTGTCGCAATTCAAGCCCCTCCCTCACTACGATCTCACCGCCGTGCGCCCGCTCGACGCCCTCTCGCGCGTCCCAAGGATCCGCGCCCCCGGCGAGCAGCGCACCATCTCCATGGATCCGTCGCCCAATTGCCTCAAGCACCCCTCCAACGGCGTCGACGACGATTGCTGGAACGCTCTCCGCCGCGACCAGTACCTGCGCGTGCTGGACGAGCTCTACGAGTCGCCAGACTCGGTGCTGGCGCGATTCAAGCCCGACGACAACTGGCAGATCTTCGATCTGATCACGCCCACGTACCGCTGCGACGCGAATTCCCTGCGGAGGGTCGGGGTCCCGGGAGATGGCGGGAAATGGGTGTGTGGGCCAGTTAGGGTTCTTGGGCCCAAATGCGTGATCTTCTCGCTGGGATCGAACAACCAGTTTGATTTCGAGGAGGCGATCGACGCGCACACGGGTGGCGAGTGTGAGATCCACACTTTCGACTGCACGGGGGAGTGGTCCAATCCACACACCAAGTTCCATCCATGGTGTTTCGGGGGAGAGGATAAAACTGATGAGAATGGGAGGATTTTCAAGAGGCTGAGCACTGCCGCGAGAGAGATTGGCGTGACGAGCATCTCGCTGCTCAAGATGGACATCGAGCTCGCGGAATTCGACGTGTTCGAGGGATTGAAATTCGAGGACGAGGTAGGGAAAGCTCTTGAAAAGTTTGGAAACCTTCTTGAGTTGCCACCTTTGCAGGGCTTCTTGCCGGATCAAATCCTCTTCGAGCTCCACACATTTGGGTACCCCGCGACGAGCAAGCACAAGGACGATTGGCCTCGCACGGTCATGGATCTCGTGCGAGACATCGATGCCATGGGCTATAGCTTTGCATTCGAGGAGAGGAACTTGGGATGGAGTAAGTTACGCTGCCACCTTTCCTCAATCTCGCTGATAGTATATGGTTTTACTTCGATCTCCGTGATAGATATAGTTTCTAAATCTTTGCCGAAATTTTTTGCTTGCTTGCTTGCAGTCAAATGCTGCGAGTACGTGATTGTCCGCGACAGGCCCTCCACGATCAACCCCAAGAACAACACATGGCACGATTAGGGCATGTGACATCTACCAGCTTTTACTATCTTGTAATGGCATCGTGGATACATTGGTATTCCAAATAACAAGAACCACAACCAATAAAAAAAAATTATTAGAATTGAGCAATAAATTTGAGCATTATCTTTTAATCTGTTGTCCATTCTCGAATTTTAGTCAATGAAACAACGACCGTTTCTTCAGCTTTTTTCGGTCCCGTACAATAACGTACTCGCTGCAAGCCGCTGGGTGAAACAAAATAGATGAAAAACAAAAGTTAGAACTCACACTTGAAAGATTTGGACAGACTTACGGCAAAAGAGATTCTTCTCCTGGAATGCAAAGCTATAGCCCATCTCATCGATGTCTCGAACAAGATCCATGATCGTTCGAGGCCAATCGCTCTTGTGCTTGCTCGTTTTCGTCGGGTAGAACAGTGTGTGGAGCTCAAACAGGATCTGGTCAGGCAAGAACTCCTGTAGAGTGTAGCCAAAACATAGCTCGATCAACACAACTATGATCTAAGATGGAATCACTAAGAACAAGAGCTTACCTCCTCCTCGAATTTAAACCCCTCAAACACCTCATACTCGCCATGCTCGATGTCCATCTTGAGCAGCGAGATGCTCGTCACTCCAATCTCTCTCGCGGCAGTGCTCAGCCTCTTGAAAGTCCTCCCATTTTCATCCTTTCCATCGAATCCCCCTAGACACCACGGATGGAAGCTCGTCTTTGGGTTGGACCACTCCCCCGTGCAATCGAAAGTGTGGATCTCACACTCGCCATTCGTGTGTGCGTGGATCGCCTCCTCGAAGTCGAACTGGTTGTTCGATCCCAGCGAGAAGACCACGCACTTGGGGCCGAGGACTCGGATCGGCCCGCACAGCCACTTGCCGCCATCGCCGGAAGCTCCGATCCTCTGCAGGGAGTTCGCGTCGCAGTGGTACGTGGGCGTGATCAAATCGAAGATCTGCCAGTTGGAGTTGGGTTTGAATCGCTCCAGCTCCTCGTCCGGGGATTGGTAGCGCTCGTCCAGGGTGCGCAGATACTGATCCCGCCGGAGAGCGTTCCAGCAATCGTCGTCGATCCCGTTGGAGGGAAGCTTGAGGCAGCTGGGCGGTGGCAAAGCGTCGCTGGTGGAGTTTCGGATCCGGGGGATTCTGGAGAGGGCGCGGTTTGGGTCGACTCTGGGAGGGACCTGGTAGCTGGCGATGGCTTCCCGGATGGCGATGAGATCCTCAGGCGTCCTGGGACGAAGATTGGAGAGGAGGAAGAGATTGAAAGAAGAGGAGTTCTCCTTGAGCAAGAGGATGAGTCCGCAAGAAGCGATCAAGAGGGCGATGATCCATGACGGTCGCATTGCTGGGTTGGGAGGGACGTGCCTAAGAATCAAAACAAGAAAAATTAAGTGCACCGACTGCGAAAAGAAAGCTGATGTTAAAAACTTTTGTTAAAAATTTGAATGGTCGCTCTTTTCAAACCAGGTTGACTTTTTCCGATTTATTATATTTTAAATTAAGAATATTCTTTGCTTTGTCGATAATTAATATGATTCTATTTAAGTTTCCTTTTCCTTTTTCACACTATAATTTTGGATTAGGGTCGTCACTCTTAAGCAAATGGATCATCTGGCGATAAGATATGGCGCGGCAAGTGGAACGCTTGGAGCTTCGATCGATCGCAATCTTAGGCGATGCGTGAGAGTGAAAGCTTGTTCACAATCGGGCGTATCTCCACTGAGGAAGGAATTCGAGTCGTGGGCTTTGATCCACAACAAGCGCTACAAGGATTCCCAAGAAAAGGAGCAACGATTTGAGATCTTCAAGAAGACCTGGCTGTGGGTGGAAAAGATGAACGCCGAGGAGAGTAGCTGCCGATTTGGCGTGAATTACTTCTCGGATCTTCTTCCGGAAGAACTCGCTAGCTTCACAAACTACGAGTGACATAGCTTTCCAAGAACTGGTGTAACCACAATATGCGATTCATTGGTATATCAAACTTCTTATTCTATTCTTAAAGTTTTCGGTGTATCAACTTTTAAACCCTAAAAACTCTTACAATGCCAGGTCCACTATGGATCGTAGTGCTCCTGGTCGGTTCTAGCACTCTCATCCTCCTCTTCAGGCAAAACTCCATCGCTTCATTCACAATGATCCTCTCCAAGTTCCCTACCACAAGATCCCAAGCCTTCAAGATCCCTCCAAGAGTCGATCCAACCCAGGCCCTTTCCAGAGTTCCCCGGATCCGAAGCTCCATCAGCGACGCCACGCGATCGCGCAATTGCCTCTGGCACCCCTCCAATGGGGTCGACGATGACTGCTGGAACGCTCTCCGGCGGGATCAGTACCTGCGCAGCCTGGACGAGCTCTACCAATCCCCGGACGAGGAGCTGGATCGATTCAAGCCCAACTCCAACTGGCAGATATTCGATCTCATCACGCCCACGTACCACTGCGACGCGAACTCCCTGCAGAGGATCGGAGCTTCCGGCGATGGCGGCAAGTGGCTCTGTGGTCCGATCCGAGTCCTCGGCCCCAAGTGCGTGATCTTCTCGCTGGGATCAAACAACCAGTTCGATTTCGAGGAGGCGATCCACGCACACACGAATGGCGAGTGTGAGATCCACACTTTCGATTGCACGGGGGAGTGGTCCAACCCAAAGACGAGCTTCCATCCGTGGTGTCTCGGGGGAATCGATGGAAAGGATGAACATGGCAGGATTTTCAAGAGGCTTAGCACTGCCGCGAGAGAGATTGGAGTGACGAGCATCTCTCTTCTCAAGATGGACATCGAGCATGGCGAGTATGAGGTGTTCGAGGGGTTTAAATCCGAGAACGAGGTAAGCTTCCATGGTTCTTGGCGTGAAGATTTCTAGTTGAGTTTTGAGTTGTTTGCCAACTTTTTCTCGAGTTTCTTGCATGCCGTACAGGAGTTCTTGCCCGACCAGATCCTGTTTGAGCTCCACACAATGTATTATCCGTCGAAAACGAGCAAGCACAAAGACGATTGGCCGCGAACAATCATGGATCTCGTCCGAGACATTGACGCCATGGGGTATAGCTTTACATTCCAGGAGAAAAATTTGGAATCCAGTAAGTCTTGGAGTTTGATCGTCTTACACAACTCTAAAGTTTCATTTCTTGCGTTGCAGTGTGTTGCAGTGAGTACGTCATCGTACGGGACAGGCCCAAACAAATGTTGATTAAGTATTAATAATCGAATAATAAAATATGCTAAGCATATTTATGCTGTTGTTTTCTTGACCAACTTTTTCAAGGCTTCCCGGAGAGGAAATACTGGAGTCTTGCATTGGTTGCTCTGTGACCCTGAAACGAGCTAGCCAAGATCAATGAGGGATGAATACTATAAACTTTAAAAGGTGGCGATCCTTTAGGGTTTTTAGGGCTTGTCGGACGAGATGAAGTACACGAAATTGGGGAGCACGGGCTTAGAGGTGAGTTCTTTGGGTTTTGGGGGAGCACCGCTTGGGAGTGTCTTCGGGCCCGTGAGCCAGGAATCGGCAATCGAGAGCGTCCGTGAGGCGATTCGCCTTGGCATCAATTTCTTTGATGTTTCTCCGTAAGAAACACCGAGCGTCTTCTAAGTTTCTAAAGTGGAAGACTCCAGATGCTATGGCAACGCAGAGACAGTCCTGGGAAGAGCTCTCGAGTCCATTCCCAGGGAGAAGTTTGTCGTCTCCACCAAGTGTGGAAGATACAGCGATGGCTTCGACTTTAGCGCGCAGCGAGTGCTCGAGAGCGTCGACGAGAGCTTGGAGCGATTAAAGCTGGACTACATCGACATCATCCACTGCCATGACATCGAATTCGGCTCGCTCGATCAAGTAAGATAGCTTAGCAAAAGTCTTATCTGGAACGATACCTCTCTTCCCAGGTGATCTCCGAGACGATCCCAGCGCTGCTTGGCTTGAAACGACAAGGCAAAGTCCGCTTCATTGGAATGAGCGGACTTCCACTGGCCATCTTTCGCTACGTCTTGGACAGAGTCGAGCCTGGAACAGTCGACGTTATTCTATCATACTGCCACTACTCCCTCAACGATTCCTCGCTCGAGGGTCTAATTCCGTACCTTAAGGACAAGGGAGTCGGGATCATCACTGCTTCGCCACTCGCCATGGGATTATTCACGGAGTCTGGTCCTCCGCAGTGGCATCCAGCGCCGGAAGAAATCAAGGTACTGCTAAGTTATAGAACTTCGGTGTGGAAACCTTTCTTCTTCTTTTTCATAGGAAGCTTGCGCCAAGGCTGCTACTCACTGCAAACTCAAGGGTCAGAACATCTCGGAGATAGCATTGAAGTTCTCCCTCTCAAATCCAGATATCGCAATCACTCTAGTTGGAATGTGTACTACCCAGCAAGTCCACGAGAACATCAAGGCAATGGACAATCTCGAGAGGAGCTCTGTGGACTGCGAAAACATTCTTGACGAAGTGAAAGAGATTCTCGCTCCTATCAAGAACAAAACGTGGCCCTGCGGAAGACCAGAGAACAACTGAGAAGACTAAGCTCGTCAAATCTTACCTTCAAAATAATTTTCTAGCTGAAGTAGATATCTAGCAACTTGCACTAAAAACCTGGGGAATTGCCAAACATTAACGACGGTTAACAGAATAAGCAAAAGCAAACCTGTACAACATTGTGGATTGTGATGTTGAGGTACTGAGCCCGAATCGATTGCTTAAACACGGTCACCTGAATCCAATCTCTCGTAAGGCGAAAATATGTGACGTTGAATTCACCTTGGACAGGAGGATAACTGCTCCTGGCACAATGTCCCTGCCAAATTCAGTCTCGGCAAGCACTCTCTTGTGGACGGTTCCACCAATCGTGCCTGTCGGATCCTACTCCAGGAACTTTGCTCAAATTATGTTTCCTTTCCATGACGACTGTACCTTGAGTGTCACAAAAGCGTCTCCGCATCCATTTGGAGTACACGATTGGATTATCGCAAGCAGCTGATCGAGAAAACCATGTAAACTACAGGGTAAAGAAGATGGTCGTCCAGACAATGGCAATATAGTTTACCTGGGGAATACGTTCGACACAAGAGGATGACTTGATATGGCTGATTGTGGAATCACGACGTGAGTACTTCACTGTCGTGGAAATCAAGTCATGAAAGAGAGAGAAGAAAGAAACAAGATGAGCTTACCCGGATCAATCTCGCCGATCTGACAGTAGCGAAGGGCCGCCAGCCACGCAGAACTTCTAAAGTCCGAGTGATCAAAAGGATTTTCTTTGCGCGAAACTTCGCAAGGCTCTGATCGTTTTATGCCCAGCTGCATGGCCCCGGCTGGTCCTGGAATCGTGTAAGCAAGCTTTTGTGACTTTGCTCCAAAAATCTCTGGAGCACCAAAGTCGTTTTCTAAGCTCCGTTGTGGAGGTTCTTCGTCGGCTCTTGCAGGACTGCTGGCAACGTTGAGAGTCTTTGGCACAGTCCAGTCCAGACTATCCTCCATGTCCAGGAAATCCAAGAACATCGGCTCCTCTGATGCGGTCTTCGCTTTCTTCTGGACGTTACCTTGATCGTTTTCTCGCAAAGATCGCTTGGCACTCGTGCCTAAGATCCTTGCGCCCTCTCCAAGGCCGAAATCCAGGAAATCAGAGCGGCTGGAGCTTGGATTTTCTGGAAGAGGAGAGACTGCCCGATCGCTACCCGCAAAACCCTGACGGAAATCTGGAGTTGTTGCTGGCGCTGGCGTGCCAGCTGCTGCGATCGAATCACTGACCTCTGCTCGATCGCCATTCTTGAGGAACTCGCCAAGATCGAAGTCTACCTCAAAATCTTCGAGATCCATAAACCCTAACCCCCAAAAAAGATGCAAGAGAATATCCAGTTTTCAAAACGATTCCAGAGAATATTTACTTTATGTCCTGCCACGTTGGCGAGGGCTAGAAAGGCGCTCTTTTCTCTTTTCTCGGGCGATAGTAGAATGCTGGATTGATTGGCTATGGCGGCTTCCATTCGATGCCCTAGTTTCAATCCTTCCACAGCTCTTCGCCTGGAAGAATCGTCGGCATCGTCATCCGCGGCGCCATCGGCCACAGCAATCCAGGTGAGATTTCGCCGGATCCGTCCAGCAGCAGCGGCATTGGGCAGCATTTCGTGTTGCGATCCGGGGAGGTGTAGCTGTAGGGTTTATAGCGCTTTGCCAGGTTTTTCATACAGGGAATGGATCTCTAGAAAGGATTTCAAGCACTCGAGCAGCAGATCTTCGAGAAGGAGAATGGTTTCCAGTGCTCTATCGCCGGGGGATGATTTGCCAGACGAGTATGAGAAGGATGATCCTTCAAAGAAGGCCATGCCCAGAAGAGCTGGGATTATTTTGCATCCTACTTCTTTGCCTGGACCGCATGGGATTGGAGACCTTGGTCCAGACGCTTTTAGATTTCTCGATTGGCTCGAGTCTACTGGATGTCGCATTTGGCAGGTATTCTAGCTCTTTGTTTTGTTTGTCTTTGAATCATTCGCTTATAGTTTTTGTTCTCGTAGGTTCTGCCATTGGTACCTCCTGGGAGAAAAGCCGGAGAGGATGGATCGCCTTACGCTGGACAAGTAAGCGGCGTTTTTCTTTCATCCGAGTTCTTATGTTCTGCGATTGACAGGATGCTAACTGCGGGAATACTCTTCTGATCTCGCTGACTGAACTCGTCAAAGATGGTCTTCTGGAAGAAGAAGATATTCCTGAGGCTATGTAAGCTGGTTTCTTTTCTTCCTTCGGAAATGACTTGTATCTTACAGACCTGTCGAGAAAATTAACTATGAAGCTGTAGCCGAGCTCAAGGATCCATTGATTCAAAAGGTCTGCCTGTTTCGTTTGCATCACCGCTTTATTCTTTCCCGTTGTTTCATAGGCTGCAAAGAATTTGGTGCAAAATGGAGGTTCTTTGAAGAAGGATCTCGAAAATTTTCGAAAGAGCCCCCAAATTGCAAGTAAGTCCATGTTGTGTTTTTTAATGGATGCTCTAATCATGCAACAAATGTAGGCTGGCTGGAAGAAGCTGCTTTATTTGCAGCTATAGATTCACATTTCGATGACGGAGCCTGGTGGCAATGGCCAGAGCCTCTGCGAGATAGAAATCCTTCGGCACTAGATAAAGCTCGGAAAGAGCATAAAGACTTTGTAATAACAAAGTGCTAGTTGTTCTAGTTCTAACTCGTTCTATTACAGATTGACGTTTTTATTGCGCAACAATTTTTGTTTCAAAAGCAGTGGCAAGCTTTGCATACGTACGCAAATGAAAGAGGAATCAAGATTATTGGCGACATGCCGATTTACGTAGGAGGTCATAGTGCTGATGTTTGGGTCCATCGGACACAGTTTATGATGGTACGCTTCCATTTTCTTTTCAAAAACAAGGACGGACTCAATATCTCGCAGGACGAAAAAACATGCGAACCCGTTCTAGTTAGCGGTGTTCCACCCGACTGTTTTAGTGAAACTGGCCAGCTATGGGGAAGGTGAGAGCTCCAAATATTTAAGTTGCACTTGCTTACCTTGTCTTTCAGTAATCTTCCAGCCCTTTATACAACTGGAAAGCGATGGCAAAAGATGGCTACAAGTGGTGGGCCTCAAGAATGAAGCGTGCTTTCGAGCTTTATGACGAGTTTCGAATCGATCACTTCCGTGGGCTTGCAGGATATTGGGCAGTTCCTGCTGGTATGTCCAAAACAACACTGCATATCAAGATATTTACTGACATTCTTACGTTGCGTAACAGATGCTGAAACAGCAATTGATGGTCGCTGGAAAGTAAGCTTTATGAGTCTGCATGATGATAGTACCTAAAACCGAATTGCAGATGGGACCAAGAGTCGAGTTTTTCAACGCTATAAAGAAAGCCGTGGGGAAAAAGATCGACATCATTGCCGAAGACCTGGTAAGTACATCCTTTTGAAAGCAAACTAGCGCTCATGCTATGCGCAGGGGATCATAACTACGGACGTTGTGGAGCTTAGAAAGGCGATTGAAGCGCCGGGCATGGTTGTGCTACACTTCGGTATGGTTCCACCGTTATACTTATTCTTTCACTCTAATGTATCCAATGCAGCCTTTGGGAACAACCCAAAGAATCCTCACATATTGCACAACCACGAGGTAGACCAAGTTGTTTACCCGGGAACGCACGACAATGACACAGTAATTAACTCTTAACTTTGCATACTTGTTTTGCCGACTAATCCATGTCTTTTAGAGTGTTGGATGGTGGTCTAAGGCGAGCGAAGAAGACAAGGAAAAGGTGTGCTTTGAATTTTCGTGAACGCAGTGGTTTTCTAACAAGTTTAACGTGCGTACAGGCAAGAACTTACTTGCGCCTGGAAGACGAGGACGCCATCTCCTGGGAGCTCATGAGGGCGGCATTCTCGTCCGTGGCACGCACGGCAATCATCCCAATGCAAGACGTCTTGAGCCTCGACAGCGATGCTCGGATGAACACACCGGCAGTGAAGGTAAGTAACAACACAGCGTGGTGTATCTTCGTTGCAAGCAGTACGCTGACGAGCTCTTCTACTTTTGCTAGTCTGGGAACTGGGCATGGAGGATCGGCGAGAGCTCCATCTTTGACGAGCTCACAGAAGAAGGCGAGAGAATCAAAGAACTTCTTCACGAGTACAACCGGTTGGCGCGCTCGGAAGAAGAGCATCGTTTGATTGAAAAATAAGTTTTTGGTCGTTGGGCCGTTGACCGTTGAACAGACATTGACCGGTCATAGTTTTTGACCATCTAATGATTCAGATAACTGGCGCGAACTCTTTGAATTTAGGCCGTTGGATGTAGGGTTTAGGGTTCTTGGTGTCTTTAGGGTTTTTAGGCATTATAGGTGCTTGGATGGGTACCAAGCGCGAATATGTTACGCTAGAGGAAGCAAGGGAGGCGGTGAAGACCATCCTCGACATGAATGAAGACGATGTCTTCATCAAAGGCAAGTCCACTCTCCTGCCATATCCAGGCATAGGAGACCCGGTTAGCAGGCCTCCGGTGGAGCTCAACTACGTGGGTCGAGGGAACACGCTGTTTGAGCTGCTGGGCATCTGGATTTCTGGTCGTGAGGTTTTGATCGTCGGCCCCAAGGGCATTGGGAAGTCATCCGACTTTAGAGCCATGG